CTGGGTGTGTGGTAGCAGTAGCACTAGTGAAAGATCAGCATTTGCTGAGAATTAAATATTTGGGGCTTGCAGTAGCCAGGTATCTATTGTAGAGTTTAAAAACAATAAGATCTTTAGATTGATCCTATTTTCTAGTCATTGAAAAGTATATTTTTCCTCTAGGTTTCTTTTCTTTTTTTTTAAGTTAATGTAATGTACATTGAGCACAATTACCCTTCTGAAAAAAATGAAATGGTAGGGATTTTTATTGACCGAAATCACAGAGCAACAAGTGTGCTGAGTATCTAGTTGGGCCAGTGTGTTTCAGACATGATAATTTCTCTGTCGGTGTTCTCGGGAATGATATAGGGAAAAACCAGGAGAAAAACCATTCTTGGCAGTGGGTATGTCGGGAAGGAGGGCACATCCCACGGCTGGTGCCTTCTGGAGATCTGCTCCGGGGTTTGGGCTGCTCGGAGCTGTCGTGCTGCCATCTGCAACGCAGCCAGAAACAGCCAGTGGGTGCACGGGGCTGCCACCTGGGAAGGAATTCCTAGAAATTTGGCTTGGTGGCGAACTCCATCCCTCTGCCAGTCAGTCACTTGCCTGCTTGTCTTGATCAATAGGAAATAATGATAAAAACCATGCACTTTTTAATAAGGATCTATACTCCTTCTTGAGAATGGAGCGGGATCATTAAAAAAAATCAATGAGAATGTTATTATTTATTATTAAATCTGTACAGGTTTAGAGTAATTCTTATGGAATTCTGTTACAGTTTTATCAAGACTTATTGATTTTTATCTTATTAAGTTATAGAGCACTTTTCCCAGTGGTCAGTTACTTTGGCACGTTGGTAAGGAATACTGTTTCTCTTTCTGAGCCATATATATGTTGCAGATCTTATGACTGAATATTCCCTTTGAAATGCTCTTTTAATTATGAGTAAAACTAATACACATAGGTTTACAGGAAAACAGGTTTGGCTTGTGCGTTACTAAAATCTAAGAGTATTTTCTAAATTTTCTTCTGACCCATCCACATGAATATTTTTCCTTAGGAAATTTCAGCTCAGACGTGCAGAAACTGTGCTGTCCTCTCTAGAGACCGTGCACAGCAACGTTCCTAAGTCACTAATTTGTCATTAATTAAGTGGAACAGCTGTGGCAGGAGAGTTTTCCTAAATGATTTCCCTAAGATGTGGGAAGCCCAGGGTAAGTCTTTGCCTTAGCACAAGCATGGCAGGAGGGGATCGGGGTCTCTGCCATCACAGGTCAGCTCTTTTCCTGCAGCTTCCCACGGTTTTGTTCTGGGAAGTTTTCATTTCGAGCTGCAAAACAGCTGAGCTGGCGGGACACGTTGCTCAGGGTTTGTCATCGTTCCGAAGCATCCTGATGTATTTGTTGCAGGACAGACCTACACATACTTTCTAGTGAGGCTGCAGGTAAAAATTTAATGAGCTTTCAGCCTGTTTCTGGAAGACCCCAATACCTTTTTTTTTTTCTAGTTTGATTTTTGGAGGTGATGTACACTGTGTCCTACGAGCAGTGGGCTATTCTGGAAGACCCCAATACTTTTTTTCTAGTTTGATTTTTGGAGATGATGTACACTGTGTCCTACGAGCAGTGGGCTTTGGATGCAAGTCATGAACAGTAGATGCAGAATTAGGAAAATACATGTTATAATTGGGTCAATAGCACACAAAGCTAATACAAGGAGACAGATTGACCCCTCTCCTAATCTTCTTTCTTCTTTGAAAACATCTGTTTACATGCTGTCTATTTTTATCCCATAGTGGATGGATTGCTATGCTAATTTAACGATGCCATATGTTTTTCCTCTGACTCAATTTCATTGTGTGGAGTGCCAGATTGAGTCAATTCACCCACCCGTTGCAGTGAGAGAAATTGTTGGCCATGGTGCAAGGAACTTTTTTGTCTCTTTCAATGCAATAGGTATTTACTGTCATTTCTAACTGAAAAATGAAAAGGAACCATGTGATCATGCAGTATAGAGAGATGGTTTAGTATCTATAAGAGCCTGGTGGCTTTTGTGCTTCCACCCTCTTCTGCAATGCTGGTACCAGCTGTAAAGCCAAGTAAAGGGACAAAATAGATATTCTGAGATTTGCATCTTCAATGGATTTGCATTTTTTGGATGCTCGATAATTTACTTCTGAGCCTCTCAGTGCGCAACCAGCATTTTTCAAGTCCTCTTTAAGTTTCATCTGCTTTATCCAGGTTTCAAATTTGCATAGTTTAAATACCTCAACAACCTTCTTAGTAAGAGAAAGAACTCTTTTGTAACCTGAACTTGAACTGGGATTGCAGTTTTGGAAGGTTACATGAAAAGTAACTGAATCTAAACTATCTCCATAAGCAAAAGCTGTGATGTTGCTCAGTGCAGGCTGAAGATGGAGAGCTAGAAGGACTTAGAAAGACCACTCAGCATTATAAATGATGATTAATATCCTGCTGTTTGAATTTGCTTGTTATAAAACTGATACAGCTCTCTGAAGGGAGTGGGCACATCCTCCTCGGTTCAGAGGGACCGTCAGATTTGGGAAAGCCTGTAAAATGAAGCTGGATTTCAGCTGCCAGGAGGCTGTAACCTGCCTAAAGGGGTGGAACGGCGAGTGCTTGTTTTCCTGGCACCTCTGGTGCAGAGGTGATAAAGCTTTTCCATGTTCTATGCCAAGAATACTTGGCTGTGTCACTCCGAGTGTTCTTCCTTCTCAACAGCTGAGAGAATACGGCTGCTGTTGGCTGCAAAAAAAAAAAAAAAGACGAGAAAAAGACAAAAGACTTTGCGCATGAGCGCGTAGGTGTGCACTGATATATTTGTTCTCCTGCAAATCTTTTGTTTGTCAAGCAAAACCAAAAGTATAGAATCATAGAATGGTTAGGGCTGGAAGGGACCTTCAAAGGTCATCTAGTCCAACCCCCCTGCAAGGAACAGGGATATCTCCAACTAGATCAGGTTGCTCAGGGCCTCGTCCAACCTGGCCTTGAACGTCTCCAGGGATGGAGCATCCACCATCTCTCTGGGCAACCTGTTCCAGTGTTCTACAACTCTCATGGTAAAAAATTTTTTCCTCATAACCAATCTGAATCTACCCCCCTCTATTTTAAAACCATTACCCCTTGTCCTATCACAACAGGCCCTCCTGAACAGCCTCTCCCCATCTTTCTTGTAGGCCCCCTTGAGGTACTGGAAGACCGCTATAAGGTCACCCCGGAGCCTCCTCTTCTCCAGGCTGAACAGCTCCAACTCTTTCAGCCTGTCCTCATAGGAAAGGTGCTCCAGCCCTCTTATCATCTTTGTGGCCCTCCTCTGGACCCTCTCCAACTGGTCCATGTCCTTCTTATATGGACCAGTTGTATGGACCTTCTTATATGTATACTGGGGTAGGAGTACATAAGACGTTCTGGGAGGGTGGTGACCTCTGCCCGTCCCTGCCCTCGTGCTCCCGAGGACCCACCGGAGTGTCGGGAGCTTCGCCCTGGCTGGGACGGGCACCGCTGTCCCACCACACTCATGGGAGCTGTGGTTGTGGCACTGAAGTCAGAGTTCTGCCATCCTACTGGTGCTTGGGATTCTGTTGATTTGCAACGGGTTGTATGCACAAAGGTGTCCTGAGGCTCTGAGAAGCTGCCTCAACTCTGAGGGTAACGGGGAGAAGAGTGCTTAAACGCAGCCCAGTGAAGCAGTTAGAAACGGGATGTTCCTTTTGGCCTGAAGTTACCATTGCCTGTTGGGAAAGTGAGTATTTGTTTCGGAGTTCTCTTTTGCATTGTGAGAAAAATCCATTAAAATGAGCATGATCCTTGAAGGAGTATTGTCTGAGCTGTTAAAGGATGTTTGCTCAGTTTGAAACTATGGAATTTTTAAGCTTCATAGAGAAAACCCCTATACTATGGCAGGTCTAACTTGTTATTGGAATTTAATAAACTATATAATTTTGTAATATAGTTTTAATTCTTTTTTTCCCCCTGCTGTTTTCTAAGCCTTTAATTATACCTTTTCTTTAATCACTATGCATACAGAAATATATATGTATATACACACATATTTGTGGATATGCAGTGATACACGGTTCTGAAAAAAAAAAATAAAAGCAAAATATGTTTCTCAAGTTGGTGAGGTGCTACAGAGAGCGAGAATATGGTTAAGAGCCATGTGAAAGCTCTGAACCAGTTCGTGCTACACAGCTGTTCAATGGTTAGGTGGTTTATTTCCATGAATACGGAGGATTATGTATTTTCAAAAGATGAAGACTCAGGGCCTTCAGATGTCTTTACTGCCCTTGGACTCAGCTGTTAAAAATCATGATTTTTTCCCCCATTATTGTAATGCTGGAGTTGTGTCACTTTTACTCTTGCAGCACTGCGGGGTGTTGGTGGCTCCGTGGCTTCGGCAGCAAAGTGAGAATCGGGGCTGAGGGAGGAAACGTTCCCCCCACCCCGACCACTTCAGGGTGCCTCATCCCAGCGTCTGGGAAACCGCGCGGAGTCGGTTACCTCGTAGGAGTTTTGCTCCCTGAGTTTGTCTGAACCTTTGTGAAAGGAAATGAAGGGAAAAATACCCGCTGGGGAAACAATAAGGTGCACTGATAATGGCCTGAGAGATGAAACTGCCTTCTCTGGGGGTCTGGGGAGGTTAATTACAAAATTAGTTGTATTGAGCTCAGCCTATTATCAGCCGCACCACATCATTTATTTCCATTCCTTACTGGTGGATATCTAATCCGTGCTTTTTGCTTATAACTCTTTTTTATATTAATCTGGTTTACATATAATCTTACCGAGCTTAATACCTCGCAGTTGGCAGCAGAGTAATTTACTTGGAAGATGCAGCTGATTAGATGAAACACGGAACAGACTTCCTTCCTCTCCACGGTCATCTCGTGTGGGTAGAGATGGGGACGTGTGCTGGATACTGAAGGAGACACCACCAGAATATTTGTGTTTCAGACCGTGGTCCAAGCTGCACTTGACCTTTCTCCCTCTCTCCTTCTCCAGGATTCGATACCTATTTTACCTCCCGCACCCTGGAGAACAACAGAAGGAACGTGTGGTTTGCAGAGTACTGGGAGGAGAACTTCAACTGCAAGTTGACCATCAGTGGGTCAAAGAAGGAAGACACGGACCGTAAATGCACAGGTAAATTCGTTTGCTTCCTCCTCCTTGTGCTGCTGGACACAGGCTGTGGTGGAACGGCTGCCCAGCTGATGGAAGGAGGCTGGGCTGGAGACAGATTGAAAACATAAATTGAATTTTTGTAGGCTGGAGAGAAAATGAAACAGCAGCATCAGCCTTACAGGACAAAAGAAGTAGGTGGAAAGAGTCAAAAAACACATTCCTCTATTTTTTCCTTTTTCTGGCTATCCATCCAGCAGGAAAATCAATATTTTTCCATGGGACCTAGAAGTACTTTTGTTTGAGTGCAGCTTGGCTTGAGGGGTTTTTGTTAGTTTGTTTCAGATGGAGAATATTTCCACAGCTTGTGCCTTGTCACCCATCTGCAACGGCCAATTGGCCACTTGCCGTGTCGAAGCACCGTCCGCTCGCGGGCGGACACCGACCACGTGCGCTCGCGTTTCACTTTTGAGGGAAATGTGGCTGTAGGAAAGTATTAGTGCAGAGTGAAACGTTTTGATTTTTAGGTAGCATAAAACTGCTCATCAGATTTTTGTTCTCACTAAACATTATTTAAGAAATTAAGGTTAAATAGATTTTTGCAGCCCCAACTCGGTAATACAGAGAACGCACTGTCTGCACCCATCACTGGGGGACCTGACCTCCAGTGGCAACTTTTGTTCTTTGTTATTTTCTGGTGGCTGAAGATTCACTCCTTGTCCTTTTAGGTGATATTGCCCACCGTTCGAAATATCATATTTGCCAGGAGTTCCTGTTCCTGATCACATGGAGGCTCAAGGAATTCTTTTTAGTTACAGGGATGCCAAGTAACAGTGGGAGCGATTTCGGTTTGAACAGAGTTCTGCATTTCCCAGCACAACCCCCTGACTGGCGCAGGGTGATGCAGTTCTTGGAACTTGAGATGTTTGTTTTGGAAGGAAACGATGGGAGAGAGACGTGTTCTCAGAGTTATTCAGACCTGAGCGAGTGCTACGGGATGATCACAGGGACAACAGCAGCATTGCCAGTTTGTCTAGAAAAGAATTTCTAAAACTCAGAACCGTAGGGAGGCCGCCCTCAACCTGCCACGTCCCTGGGGAGCCCGTGTTTGTGGCATGAATGTCTGTCGTGTGGGGTTTGGGGGTTTCCTCAGGGCTTAAAATGCAGTGGATGAGCTTTGGCCAGAATGGACCTGCTGTGATACAGATGGTAAAGCCATTGATGTCCACCTTGCCCCGCCTCCCTTTGCCTTTCCTTCCCTCTCCTTTTAATTTTTCACAGCAGCAGTTTAAATCTGTTATGTTGAATAACTGCCTTGAATTTTGATCAAGGGAAATTAGTTCATGGGAGGATATGTTTTACTTTGATTGAAAATTGATGAAAACTTTCCATATTTCATATCGTCTGCTTTTGGTTTCAGTTCATGGGTGGGAGTAGGAGTGTTGTGCGTAGAAGCAGTGCAGTTACCGCTGGGAATACACTGCTGTTAAATTTGGCATTTGGAATCTCCCCCGAAGGCTGGAATTTGGCTAAAAATAGCTAAAAGATCTTTAGGATAATTTCTAGAAGCATCTTATCGCCCTTATTGTTTACACCATTATTCATTACAATTGCTCACAGCCTGTGCTCTCTGATGTGTCTGTAGAAACGTGTTCTGCACTGCCTTGGCATAGCTTCAGCAGAACCATTTATTTCCGATGGCTAACCTCCCCTCTTGAACCGAAATACCGCGTTGTAGCTCGATATTGTACCGAATGACATGCCCTGACATCTTCCTTCCCTCTTCTGCAAACTGAAGTCAATTGTGCATCAGAAAAAGCATTAGCTGTGAATGATACTGCTAGTGGGAGAGTCTCAATGTCCCACCGATGTAATAATGTTATGAATTTGTCGTCACTGTTTTAAAATTTGATTGGTGATTTGTAGCGCAGCGAGGTACAAGGCTACAGGCCATCGGTTTCTGACAAGAACAGTGTTCCTGAGCACCGGTGTGAGGAGCAGGAGGCTCCTGCTCCGAGCAGAGATGGGTGCCCGTAGCAGGGAGCAGCTCAGCGCTCGTGGCCACAGGCAACGATCAGGCAGAAGAGCTGCTCCGAGAAGGCACCCTGTGGGCAGCTTACCTTTGCGTGTCACGACTTGCTGAAATATTTCTATATGCAGAACTTCTACCTTAATGTCATTTATATTTATTTAAGCATGAAACATTTTGCCTGGGTGGATAAGATGTAGAAAGAGAAAATGAAAATATGTTTAGCTCACTCTGCTTTATTTTGTGATAAGATTAAACACAGCACATGGCTGTGATTAATAATGCTGTTTCTAGCGATTGGCTTATTTTGACGTGGGTCAGGGCACGATCCAGTGCTGCGAAGTCGTACTGCTGCCAAGGACACCCCTATTGTTGGGCAGGTAATTTCTGCTGGGATGCAGGTCGCTTCGCAGCGGTACGTACGCAGCCATCCCTCGCTCTTCCCCAGAGCAGAGAGGGGTCGGTTCCTAACGCAGAAGTGGTGTAACTTCAGCCGGGTGCTGCCCTCTGGGCTTGCCCAGGGTTGCTGCCTCTGCCCCCAAGGGATGCTGACGCTTCATCAGACTGTATGGGGAATCTGATGTAGCCGCTGAAACAGCACGATAGGAACAAGCGGTGGGTTTAGGCAGTTCATTGTTTTACTTCTTGCTGCTTACGTTTAAGGATATCAGAGAGATTCACTTCAGTTGTAGCAGGCCACGTCAGCTTAATGGGGAAATATTTTGGAAAGAAGAAGTTGGCAGTCCCATGTGTTACGGTAAAAACGTGCTTCCGTAGGGAAGGATTGACGGAAGAATGAGGCAGAAGAGAACAGTCCTGCAGCTCGTAGCCGGGGTTGCGCAGAGGGAGCGGTGCCCGGAGCTCTGCCCGCACCGCGGCGTGTGCCCAGCCGGGCTCTGGGCGCTGACCGTCAGCTCCGCTGGAAACATGTCCCTGTCCAAACCCACCCGGTGCTGGTATTGCCAGTGCCACGAGATCCAGGGAATGGGAATTAACAGGCCCTAAGAGAAGTTTTTTGTGTGTATATTAGAATGATAGAATGATTAGGGCTGGAAGGGACCTTCAAAGGTCATCTAGTCCAACCCCCCTGCAAGGAACAGGGATATCTCCAACTAGATCAGGTTGCTCAGGGCCTCGTCCAACCTGGCCTTGAATGTCTTCAGGGATGGAGCATCCACCACCTCTCTGGGCAACCTGTTCCAGTGTTCTACAACTCTCATGGTAAAAAATTTTTTCCTAGTATCCAATCTGAATCTACCTCCCTCTATTTTAAAACCATTACCCCTTGTCCTATCGAGCTGGGTCATTCATGAGTTTCAGAGTGGTGGCTGAAATCAAACATAGTGTTGAATATTCCCTCCTACCACCCCGTCCCACTGCCCGTGGGGGCTGCTCTGCGGACAGCGAGTACCCGCCCGGGTGCCCCGCGGGTGTTCCCTCTCCCAGCACTGCCATCTCCGCCAGCGGGTGCAGAATATTTCCAGCTCCATTGGAAGCCCCCGGGCTGGCCGGTGGCAGAAGGAGGTGTATGGCCAAGAGAAACATGAGCTTGGAACACAAGGAGTGTTCCTAGCGCCCGGCCTCCGCGGCGGGAATGCTGCCGGGAAAGGGAATGGCAACACTTGGCTGTTTTCACTTTTGAAACGTAGCTTTTAATTCGGATAGCTTTGCACTCAAGGAGACTTGATGAAGTGATATAAGGGTGATGTCACCTTGGATGTCATTTATCAGGATGTAGATTACTCGGAGAGCTTTTCTAATTATCTGGAAGTGTAATCAGTCTGGAGGCACAGCCCAGATGATGGCTCCAACAAGGACTTGCTCTAAAGAAAATGCTGGGAGAAGGCTCCCTGCAAGATTAAGTGATGGGGATTGAGCAAAATAGTTTGTAAAAGAGTGACCGCTGTGATTAGAATTTAAATTGGAACAAGATGCCTCAGAGGGACCCAGGTTGACCTCTCCGGGCAGCGTGGAGGCAGGAGCAGTGTTGGGGCTGCCCAGAGTCTTCTCTCCATAGTGCACCGAGGAGCATCTCGTGCAGCCTTGTGAGCAAATTCCTGTGCCATGTTGAGTGAGCTCTTAAACCCGCCCATCCCAGTGTGTCACCTTTGGCAGGTCCCTGGGGAAGGCTGGAGGAAGAGGAGGGAGCTGCGGGAACGGTGCTGTGAGGCGGCTTGCCTCATCAGTGGGATTTTACTGGGCAAAAGTTTGGTGGCTCAGAGAGGCCAAATCCATTTTAAGATGTCAAGAGCATCAGTCAGGAAAGGCTTTTCTAAGGGCTGAGTTTATCTCATCTGAAAATGTTACGAGATAGGATTGAAAGTCAGTGAAGGACAGAGGGGTCCTGGGCAAAAATAACTCAAAACAGGCAGTAATGTGAGTGAGTGTGTGTGTGTGTGTGTGTGTACACGTAGGGACAGACTCACTTCTGGCGCTGGGGAGGGAACACCACGTGTTCCCATGGGCGTCAGAGACGTGGGAGAAGGTGGGGGAACGTCCTGCCTCGCATCTCGGTGTGCTTGGGATGGAACTGCTGTTTGGGGAGGGGAGAAAAGGTCGGACTTCCAGGGAGAAGGTTACAGAAGCAAAGGAATAGTTAATCCTCTGTGTTTGTATTTCACAATAAAGTTGTGCCGTGTGTACCGTACATCTGTCAGAATTTCCTATGAGGGGATTTACCCTGTGAAAGGAAAAAAAAAAAAAGAGCTGCACTCAAGCTGAGTTTTCCCAAATCAAATGGTAGTTCTGAGAAATGTATAATGTACCTAAAATGCTGGGAGCTCAAGTCTGGCTACCCAGGATTTGGCACATCACTGTGTTTCATGACCATGGAACAAGAGGGGTGAGGGAGGACAGGCCTGATAATTTTGGCAAACGCTCTAATTATCTGTGATTTGGTTTAAAATGATACCAGTAGGAGGTTTTTTTGGGGGGTTGAGTTTTTTTTTGTTGAGAATAAGGAAGCTAATAGCAATATCTTGTCTCTTTTTCACCA